AAGGAGGGGCGGGGGGTAGTTCGGAAAGGCCATGGTCTTAGCAGCACAGGTGTGAAGAACTACTCCAAGCTGGCCTACCCCGACCACAGTGAGCCCAGCAGCAGTGAGGGACGTCCTGTGTCACCGGAGGAGAACTCCCTCACCCCTCTGCTAGATGAAGGTCCATCCTCACGTGGCTCTACCATCCCTAGAAGAGGACGTAGTCGTGTGAACAGCGGCCGCAGCAGCAATAGTGAGAACCGCCGCGATTCCATGACCAGCCCAGAGGATGATCCAGACGACAAAGACGAGAACAAGAAGAGTCCGTGGCAGAAGATTGAAGACAGGCCTCTCATGGTTTTCCATCCAAGGAAGTGAGGTTTTTAAGGGTCTTCACAAATGCGAGTCTTTACACATAAAAGACATGATGAGATCCTGATAAGCACAACCAGACTGGACTGGTCTGATTTCAGGTTGTGGTTAGATCTTTGTGTTTGTGGAGAAGGTCCAAGCAGCTCCTAGTAACAGTCATTGTCTCCATGTCAGTTAATTCCACTGGTTTCCTCCACATCACCTGTTGTAAAGTGAACGAATCCTTATCCCCTGTCACATCACTGACCTTTGGTCTGAGCCATTGCATCTGCTGACTGTGGAAATAGCCATTTTTGAGGAAAGAATATAACGATGAAGCACTTCCTAAAAATTGAGAACTAATCGACAAATAGTTACCATGTGTTTGGGAGTAGATAGAATTTTATAGGATTATAGGATCATTGATGGATTATGATGTGAATTAACATGTGACATGTTAAACTTGAGGCTAATGTTAGCGGTCGAAAGTTTGTGCCTCTCTTTGATGGACTGCACCCTTTTTTTTAAATTTTAACACATTCTTCTTTTTCAAAGACATTCCCACACACATGTCCTTGTAGGGAACCTCACCCTTATGTTTGAATCCCTTTTTTTCCTGACACCCTGTGACGAGATGTGCTATAAAACCCAACACTGCTCCTTCGGGGACATTTGTGACTTCTTCTTCCTCCTGTACCATGTTGTAATGATTTTCATTGTAAAGCATCAGCCTCAAGTCTGTCCTCTTCTCCTGTTTCTATTTAATACAGTGATCTGCTGTAATAACTCTGCCAAAAGTATGCATTTCTGCCTTTCCCTGATGATGCCAGGAGTTTTTGGGACAACACGACTGCAGGTTTCCTGTTGTGTAAATAGAGGCCCTGACATTTGGAAGACCATATTGTATAGAAAAGTTGCATGCATATGAATGTATGATCGAAACAAAAGGCACCCACAGCCCTTCACACCAGAGTTTTCAGCCTTTGTGGAGAAAATCTTGATGCCAAGAATTTTTCTTATTTTAAATGATTTACACAGAAAAAAAAAACATTTTTGTATAGAAATGCCTGATTATTATTATTCTCATAGACCACATATGCGAAAATTAATTTAGCATTCTGGTTGCAAATGTTGGCTGCAAATAGAAGGCCAGGAAAATGCTCTGTTGGTTTGGGAAGTACGTAGGTGGGGAAAACATGGTCGTGAAGATGAAGGTCACAGTCACAACTTTTGGCTCTTTTTCAATAGAACATACACGTAATTTTAATAGAATCAAAAATATAGACTGAAGCATAATCCAACCAATCACATACACAGTCCTCATGACTGTGTATGTGATTGGTTGCAGAAAGAAATTGTGAAATCTCCAAAATCATAAGACCTAAAAGTAGCAGTCGAGACCATTGAGACCAACAGTTAAGGAAAAGGATGACTGGAAGTTGAGAGGAACAGATGATGCACAGCTTTGCTCTGTAACATTCGATCAGTGATAGTTCCTGGCGCTTCACCAATAGCTTTGTTCATTTCTTATCTGTGGTCCGTGACTCCGCTCTGATCTGAGCAGCAGGGCCTGGACTACTTTTCTCCTGTAAGTGCCTTTTTCTCATAGGATTGAGTGATAGGCGTGCAGGTCCCCTTTCAAACGTTAGTCAACACCTAATGCAATGTAAACTGATAGGCACTAATAAGCACACTGCATTGTGATTACTCCAACACGCGTCACTCTGGGGAGCATGTCTGCCAAAACTTTTCTTGCAGCTTTTTCATTCTTAAATTTTTTTTTATTATATCTATACCCTTTTTTCCAGCCAACTTGTAAATGGTCTGATGAACTTTATGAGGTTTTCACTGTATACACTATGTTGTGCATGTAATCTGTAGAATAGCTCTGTTTTTGATGAAACATTTTGTAGGTGATGATAACGAGGATGTTTGGCACAAAATGTGATGCACTGACGCATTGAATTGTGTTTCCAAATTAACATGGTAGTGTGCGATGATGTACATTGGACCTTTTCTCCCCTCCTGATCCACTTCTAATAAGATTCACTTCCGGTCGTAAATGTTTACAACGACATACTGACCAACATTCACATCCCTGCTGTTGTTGTTAGCATCACTGCCGTCGACGCATTGACAACTGTGAACTCCAGTAATGTCAGTCAGCAGATCTGTAAAAGCTTGTGTGCTTCAAAAACTTGAAGAGGTTTTTGTTCTTTGTTTCGCTGCACAGTATATGATTTGGGGTTAAAATCTGAAAGCTTGTACAAAAATCCTTCTGACTCTCTGCTCCTCTGTGCCATTTGCTTGCTGTTCATAAGCCTGTTTCCGTCGCTGAAGTCTAATAATTGTAGAGCCCTGAAAGGATTCCCGCTGAACTGTTGTGTACACCGCTGTACTTTGAACCAGATATTGATTTATTATTGAATTACTATTGGGTTGTGCAATTGTTGTTTTCATTTTGTGTTAACTGAGAGATCTGTGTGTTTCCTTGATAGACTGTAAACTTGTATTGTGCCGGTTTCAGAGAGGGTTTGTTCATGCCGATTTACAACCAAGATGAACTCTGACCTCTTGAAACCTGGAAAATATGATTTCATAGTGGAATACATGTCCAGTGGAACAAAGTGTAGGCCTTTGTCCTGTGCAGAACACCATTTGCTTTAGTCAGTTGTTTGTAAACTGTAAATCAATTCTTTCTGTACACGAGACAAATAAATCAATTTGTTCCCACAGTCGTTTAATGTTTGTGGATTCATTTTGATGATGAATTGAATCTAAACTTGAATGTAAGTAGAGCCTATTTTAAAAAGTCTGTAATATTTTACTCTGGTTTTTAAATACCTATATTCTGATTCTGTCTCCAAAAAGCAAAACAACACAAAACGTTTTTACTTGTTGGACCACACAATACACAACAGAACATGGTTAGCTCGAAAATAATTTTGTCCTTTGATATCCTTTTAACTTGAAAGGATGCGTTCTCTTTGTGTTTGTATAGATGCTGAGGAAAAAGAAGTGAGGCATGATGGTCTCCAACACGCTTTTTATCAAATGGCATCTGCTGTTAAATATTTCCCTCTCCTGGGTCAAATAAAATGATTCTCATCATCAAATAAGAGAGGAATAGAGGAGGCAGCAATGCATCATGACAGAGACTCCTTTCTGTAAAACACCAACAGATGACACCCAAACAAATGACGACAAGAAGTCACGGCTTTTTGAATCCTAAAGAAGGCAGTATTGCAACTTCAGAAATGCTAACTGCCAATAAACCCCAACCAATCAATAAACCAACCTTCAAATAAAAATCACCATGGGGGCTCAACTGTCACTGCAGCCCCAGGCAGAGGAGATAGCAACGTTAGAAGTGATACGTCCACCAATCAAGTCTTTCTTCGAAAAAATTACAGAGGAACAGTGGCTTCTCCTGAAAACTGGTGTGCTGGATGGTGGTACGGAGAAGTTGCTAGCAGAATTTCTTCTAGAACTAATCGCTGGCCTTTCAGATGCGCTGTTAGCTGAACACATCAACCTAAATGTTGTTATTTCAGAGGAGCTCGTGGTGTCCACTGTAGTGCTCCCGCTCACCCGCAGCTTGGCAGAGTTTCTGGTTTTTGAAGACAAAGTCAAGTGCAACAGCATTGACCTGCTGAGTGACCTGATTGTTCAGGAGGTCACGGAGATTGCTGACTCCGTGCTGGGCATTGTAACAGATGCTGCAGAAGCTGCATATGTGACAGCTCCCTGCAGACTCAGTGCCATGATCAGCCATGCCTCTAATATATTACACACTCTGGAGTGCAAAGTGTTTGTATTTAAAACTCCAGCACAACGCCTGCAAGCGAAAAAAATACATGCAGCTGAACCTCAGGACTCAGGAGAGTTGTCAGCCGTCCGATATGTGAGGGAGGAAGTGAAAAACATCACAATGCCGTTGCTGAAAGACTTGCCTGACTTTGAGTACGAGCTGTTCCAATCGTCTGCTTCACTAGAGGTTGACAATGCAGCAGCTAAAATTTACAATTTTATGGAAAAAAACATTAGTCGATTGGACAACCCCAAAATAATGCTCAAAGTGAGCTTGGAGCTGCGAAGTAAAATAGAGAACATCCTCGCCAAGCAGTTAATTAAAGCGTCAATATGTCACATAGTGGCACAGCTCCAGACTGGCTCTGTACCTGATGCTGAAGATGAAAACGGGAAGTCGCTGCAGATACTTCTCACCAGTGTCACACGTCTGCTCATCATTGCATCAAATGAAGATCTTCCCTATATGGCTGTGGATGATATTGATGTGTTTTGGAGATTAAAGTACATTTTTAGTGGTAAAGATTTGGATTTCACACAAAACCTAGTTAATATCATTTACCTTTACATCATGAAGGAGCCACACGATGATACTATTTCAGACTTGTACATCACCATATGGGTCAAAGTACAATGTTGCATGGGCCTCGTGAGTTGGTGGTTAAACACTCAGGCAATCATCCAGAGTGGCAAAGTGACAGACACTTTAATAGGGCCTGAGCCTGAGGTGAGTGAAGCTAAAGCAGTCCAAGTGATAGACACTGACCAGGAAGACTTGGAAAATGAAGAGCCTGCCCATCAAGACAATAAATCACATACTGAGAATAACAAATCCACTTTTCTTGTACGAGAGATCACTTTAATCAGCGATGCAGAGGTGACAGATACTGACCGTGAAGACTCTGACCACAAAGACAACAAATTACTGAGTGATGAGAAGTACAATTTTAACAATTGCTCTAAAACATTCAGAAAACTCACAAAAGACATTTTTACTGACCTGCATGGCAAGTGGAAAAGTACTAAAAAGTACATTCTCTCCTCCATCCATTGCTTCCTCAATTCCCAAAATAAAACAGGTTTCTTCACAACTTGCCGCAAAAGCTTTGTGAACATTGTCAAGCGTAGAAACAGGGTTGGTGTCATCTGAGCCCTCATACTTGCCAAACCATGACTGTAAAACATATAAAGTATTCCAGAGACAACCATCTGTGTTTTCCTTGGAATCATTTATCCAAAAACAGGACAAGTAGGAAATAATCTGTGGACCATTTTAAAATTAAAATGAAAAGTTTTTTTGTTCAAATACCTAACTGTGTCTGGAATTACTAATAAAATATTTTTTAAATAATTGATGTTANATTGTATGTATAATATTGTATTATATATGTTTTGGTTTTTGTTGGGGGGGAGCTTCCGCAATGTTGGCCATGTTGGATCACCATGGTTTTGTTTAAGTAAAGGAAACGACATGTTTTGTTACTGCTGGGACAGCATTTGTAAATAGAGAATAGGGGAAGTCTTAACCACAACGTTTTACTTAACCACAACATAGAAGCACAAAACAACCAAAAATAAATAAATAAATAAGGTTAGTTCCGCTTTAAGATGACGCCTACATTGAGGCCGCCTACATTGTCACGTGACCGCTTGTGTCACGCGATTATTGAATAGTCAACACTTGTACATTTTCCCGTTAAATTCATCGTGGACCTTTACTTAATTACAACATATATGTGACACTGTAGGCTGAATGCGCCAGGTCCTACAGGTAAGAGAAATAATAACGAATAACCCTACCAAGAAACATTAGCTTTTGTGTTAGCCACCTAGTCTGCTTAACTACTTGCTAAGCTACAAGATGCTTTTATGGTGGCATTGTTTGAATCCGATGCGAGGTTTTGTATCACTGTGGTTATTAAAACACTAATAATCATTAATGCAAGTAATATTTGAGTGATTTATTTAATTGCCGAGTAGTTTTCGAGTATTGTATTGACGAGATTATTTTTCTTTGTCCTAGGCTTTAAACCGAGTATGCAGCGCAGTATTCTCTGCTAATACCATTTGTGCCTTCAAGTCATCTAATACAATGGTAATGTGTTCTGCCGACTGATGCAACGTCACCAAAATATGTCAAATACTGTACGAGACACATTTTGTGTTTTTTAACTGTGTTGAATCGTGTTGCAAGTATATACACTAGCCCTTATAATAATAATAAGAGCGTAATATTTATTGTGTACACATGAAGGAGTGACATATCCAGAAGATATTAATTTTGCACGTTTTTGACTGTTGAACAAAGAATACATTTGCGTAGAAATGCGCATTTGCACACAGTTGATATGGTGTAAACACTTTCTAACGAAAAAACACACCCGTCTGCCCACATTCTTTGTCAAATATAGAAGCCACAAACGTAGTAGATACACTTATGGCTTAAAATGCATTATGGTTCTATCACGTGTCAGCTTTTTGCCTGTAGAAAATAACATGTTTTTTGGTTATTTTTTCTGTTTTGTACATCTTCACTGCTATAAGAACAAAAAAATAGAAATTGCAGAACAGTAAGTTTACAGCTGAAGTCACAGTGACATTTGCTGACACGTAGCCATCAACATACATAAGAAGGACGTGAACTCTATAATGTTTGGTGTTGAAATCCACATTATCAATTTGTCAATGGTGGTTC